ATGTAACTGTGAACTGGTTCCACTTTTGCACATAACACTCATTCCTATGCGATTAGGATTACAGCAGAATGTGTTGGCTTCACAAATGTTACATTGATCTACAGATCACAGGCTCGGCAGACTTTCCCTCTCCGATGATCTGCCTCTGGTCAGTCTGACGGTCGACAACGTCCACCTGGAGCACGGCGTGGTCTACGAATATGTGAGCACCGCTGGCGTCAAGAGCCACGTCTTGGAAAAGATCGTGGAGCCCAAAGGCTGTTTCAGCCTGACCGCTAAGGTAATTATGACGCGAAAAAAAATAAAGGTTTGTTTACAGGGTAATATCTCCAGAAACCACATTAAACTGGCCTTATGTCACAGTGAACCGTGCCTCACCCTAAAACCCACAGGACTAATCTCACCCATCAGATTCTTAAATTACAAGTGGTTGTTAATGTTAATGTGTACGGCACTAATTATACTTTTAATTTCACCTTATAGGACACCTAAAACAAAATGTTCTCACAGGAATGGCCGCTAAAAAGTGCTGCACAGCTAATCTAGTTCATTTAATGCTTGTTAATTGGGTTTTGTTTTGTGTGTCTCNTTTTCCACAACTCTTAATCTTGCATTCAGCTCTGTTTTAATTAAAAATTACCATTATGCTTTTGCCCGATTCATGACTGACTTATTTTGCTGTGCAATCATTCTAGGGTATAATCAGTCTAACTGATATTATCTTCTTCTCCCTCAGTGTCACTGGGTGTTTCGTGCTTTTGAGGATACGGAGGAGCTCCAGAGACCCACAGGTGAAGACGAGAAGGAGGGGTTTTGCTCACTGGAGAACGGGTCGGACCACGAGGAGGAGACCACCACCACCAATGGAACAGGTGCAGCATGATGCAGAATTATACAGTTATGCATGTTGTATTTTTTTAAATATGGAGTTTATTTGTGGCAGCTCAGAATCGGAATCACCTTTTATTGTCATTATAATTTACATTACAATGAAATTGGATTTGCTGCTCCAAGGTCCTTTGTTTTGTAGACGAGATAAAGTAAAATAAAAAATAGACACAATAAAAGAGATAAGTTAAATATAATGAGATAAAATG